ATTCACGTTGGTTTTGCTGTCAAACTTCAAACTGCAAAAGATGGCCATATTTGTTAAGTGCTTTGTTAAGATGGATAAGGCATTACATGTATGCTGTGTATGTATGAGAACAGTAAGTTTTGGTACTATGCAGTTTCAAAAGTGAATTGGGCAGCTTAGAAGGTGTCTTCTGCAGATAAGGGAGAACTTCTATAGCTAAAATTATACTGGGGAGCTCACACCAATGAGACTGCACTTGATTTGATAAGGACAGGAGATCAGGAAAAGGAAAGACATATGAAGGTTGCCATTAGAAAGTTTAAACTAGAGAAGGCTTTCAGCATGGAAAAGTAGGCAACATTAGACAGCTCCATGAGCTAAGGAGACCTTAAGTAAGGGTGGATTCAGTGAGAAAGGCCAAAGACCCCTACAGGTACATGGAGGTATGGAAAGTGTGAGAGGCAATGATAGGACCAAAAATGCAGCAGGGTGACTGGAACAACTGTGGCTGGTCTAAATCGGTGCTTTCAACTACCTGGGGGTTTGATTAGTAGTGCATAGGTATCAGAATGGTAAGGAATAAGATGTGCCTTGAAAAAGCTTAATTATGATACTTGTCATCATAATAAAAGTAACAGGAAATGTCACTATGTGAAATCTCCTTTGAGGTAGGGTTGTGACTTAACTTTTAAAAGTTCAGAATCCTGGGCTGGGGATTTAGCTCTGTGGTTCTGTCGCCTGCCCTGTAAATGCAAGAACCCGAGTTCGATCCCTGGTACAAAAAAAAAAAAAAAAAGTTGAAAATCCCTAATCTCTAAAGTCTCTTTTAGTTCTAACTTCTTTTTGATGATTCTGTTTTATAAATAAGTGAAATGAAGCTGAAAAAGGTGACATAGCTAATCAGTGGCAGAGCTGGAACCAGACTTCTCTGGCCTTATAAATTCTTGCAGTGTTTCTTCCACTGAAGCAAATATCTGTGATGGTTTCCATTTTACAAATGAAACAATTTAGGCAAAGGCAAGATATAGCCGGAAAAGCTCACTAGCTGGATCCAGATATTCACTTCCTGTTGTGCTGCTTTCTGTTAGACTCCTGTTCTGATAGGCACTGCAGGAAACAGGAATGTAAAAATAGGCAGGCTTTCTACCACAGTTCCTTACTGGGGAAAATGTTAGTTGGATCACAGAACAATCTAAATCATGACCATAGACAACTATAGGAATTCAAAAAGAAAATAACAAAGCATCATACAGCAGCTATATTCTCATATCTCTCTGTAGGGGATATTAGTACAGATCTAAGTCAGATATGCGTTTACGGGCTTTCAAAATTAGGCTAGGTTTCCAATTTTATATTTGTGTATTAATGTCTTGATCTTTGGAACTAACTGATTTCCTTGTGTCTTTCCCAAGTGCACATTTCTCATAAACTTTGAAGACAGTTTAGGAAAATGAAAGTATTTTTCTCTCAGGAATGTTTCCGTTATTATAACTTTTGAGA